ATATATTGAATTGTAGAATAATCATTAAATTTATATATATATATTTCAGAATATTTGAATTTAGAAGACTTCTTGCTAATAGAGACACATGTTATAAACTTATACCTCGTGATTATCCAATTAATATAACTAAGGTAATGTAAATATTTTAAAATTGAGATTAATGAAAATTAATGAATTAATGAAAAAATATATTTATTATTTATTATTATATTTATATTATATTAATATTATATTTATTATTTTTATATGTATTTATTGCAGGATGAAGAATGGTCAGATTGTCATATAATAGAAGGTCGTTTTGAAAGTCCATTCAATAAACATCTTCCTCAAATAATGCCTTATGAAACAATAACTGCAAATTTTCAATTAGTCTTACCAAAAAAATGGTACTCTCATAAAATAAAGCCTATTTGTTTACATCTTGCAGGTACTGGAGATCATGTAAGTTAATTAATCTTGAATTAAATTAAAATATTACTTTTTTTTTTATAATATATATATAAAATAAATGATTTTTATATATTGAAATTAATTTGGTTATTACCTGGTTTCAGTTCTTTTGGCGGAGGAGAAATTTAATTGCCAAACCTCTACTAAAAGAATCAGGAATTGCATCTTTGTTATTAGAAAATCCATTTTATGGTACAAGAAAACCACAGAATCAAATGTAAGAACTTATGTTCAGAAGGTTTGTAATAGTAAACAAATATTGTATTTTAAAAGAAATATATATGTATATTAATATTGATTTGTGATTTATAGACGTTCTTGTTTACATAATGTCTGTGATATCTTTGTTATGGGAGGATGTTTAATAATGGAATCAATTGTTTTATTAAATTGGTGTGAACAGCAAGGATTTGGACCTTTAGGACTCACAGGCTTATCAATGGGTGGCCATGTTTGTATTTTAACTTTTATTTTTAATTTTAAAAGTTTAATAACATAAATAAATTTAATTATTTATGATATTAATTATTTTATGATATAATTATCAATAATAAATATTGATTTGTTTAGATGGCTTCTTTAGCAGCAACTAATTGGCCAAAACCAATACCATTAATTCCTTGTCTTTCTTGGTCAACAGCATCACCAGTATTTACTCAAGGAGTAATGAGTGCTTCGATTAACTGGACACTTTTAGAAAATCAATATTTTGCAAATGAACTGTACCAAAATGATCTCGCCAAAATGGTGAAAATCATAGGTAAAGAAGTAAGTGGATTACTTAAAACAAAAAAGATTTTTAAATATAATTATAAAAAATAATATATTTTTAATATATTTTTACAAAATATATTTTTAGTATAAATATTTAAGTCGTTTATTTTTAGGATGCGTTTTTAGCTGGACAACATTTTGCACAGCATTATCCTTCAAGCATGAAAAGAGTTAATGAATTAAAGAAAATGACTGAAAATGTTACTAAGAAAGTAAATACTATAACTGCCTCTGAAACTGTGATTAATAATAGAGATTATGATGAACAAAATAAAGACAATACTTTAAAAAATGAAATTGCTGAAGAAAAAGCAGCAAGAATATTTCCATTAAATATATTATCTAACAAATTTAAATTAAAAGATTCAAGTACACATAAAGGCATGTATATTTTTGGCATGTATATATGTATATATTTATATTAATGAATTCTAAATTTATTTTTTCTTTAACAAAATTGATAACATAATTGTCTTAAATGTTTTTAAATATGCTATTATTTATGTAATTGAATTATTTATGTAAAACATAACTTATATTAGATTTTACAGGAATTTAATAATATATTAATATTGTATTAACAAGTTTTTTTTATATAATTTAATAATTTTGAATTTTTAAAATTTGTATTTTTTTCACACATTAATAATTTACAAACGTTTAACGATATTAAAATTATTAATAAATATAATGTTTATTAAAATATTTTAAAATAAGTGTTTATTAAAATATATATTTTTTTTATATTTTTTTTCTCAGTTTTAAATGTTAATTTTAAGAAAGCATGGTTGATATAAGCATGATTATTATATTGCTTTGGCAATAGGTATATGTTTGTTACCAGTTCCAAGACATCCATTATTTTCGGACTGTAAATGGCGTGAACGAGAAGCATTACAATTTATGTGTGGAATAATGGATGAATGTACGCACTTAAAAAATTTCGAAGTACCTGTTGATACCGAATTAATTATTGCTGTTTGTGCAAGAAATGATGCGTACGTACCACGAGATGATTGTATGAGTTTGGATAAAATTTGGCCAGGAGCAGAAATTCGATATATAGATGCTGGACATGTATCCGCGTATCTTCTTCATCAGAAAGTATTTAGGTAAATATCATATATTTGAATAATATAATATATTTGATAATAAATAATACTAAGTAAATTTGAAATTTTTGAAAAAAATTAAAAATCTCTCTTTTGATTCATTTATTTTTCATTTTCAGATCTACTATAGTAGAGGCATTTGAACGATCACTGAAAAAATATCCTTTACAGATTAGCTGATGTATAATATTATCTAAATTAACTAAAGTTAGTGTAAAAAGATTCTACAAGTTATTTTTAAAGTGTAATTTCGTGTTCATTCGCGATATTATATTATAAGATAAATTATATATTTAAACCATTTTTTAGATACTTTACAATTTTTATTATTTTTTAATTGAAACAAATTGGAATATAAATAAGAGTTAATCATGTGTACAGATTCAAATCTCTATACATATACTGTAAGAAATGTTTATTATAATAAAATATATTTTATGAAGTACGAATAAATTATAACATATTTGTATACAAGAATAAATGATCTGATTTATTGTTTATTCGTTTATTATTTTTTACTTTTTAAACTCATTTATGTATAATATTAGATGTATAATATAGATTAGTAAAAATTAATAAAAAATAATATATTGATTTATAATATCTATTAATTATGATATTAAGATATAGTATTAATATTTATTTAAAATTATCAATAAATTAATTATATATAAATCAAAGATAAATAAAATTTTTAAATATTCTTAAAAGATATAAAACTATAAACTTAAATTATGCGGGTATTATGAAATAGGAAATACAATGGCGCTATCTATAGGACTGATAATAGAATCAATTAAACCGGAAACTGTAGCCGCTCG